TAAAACTTGACCAAGAATACACACTAAAACTGAACAACAGCAATATCGGTTCAGTAGTAATCTTGCCAGAAGGAATAGATCCTAGTTACAATAACATAAAGGCCTTCATGTAGGGTATTTACAGGAAGGGACTACAGGTGTATCCAAGTGCTCAATGGAACTCAATTGTCCCGGCAAATATAAAAATATAAATTTTGGTTTTAAGTTGAAGAGGCAGAGGGCCGACTTCAGACACAACTTAAAGAGAGATTCGATTAGTCCTGACCAGCAAATTTAGTTGACTTTCCATAGGAGGAAGGTAAATTCCTAAACATAAACATAAGACAAATTAATACAAATTACTAACCGAAGACGGCAGGAAACTAAGAGGAAAATACAAAACAGACGATAAACTAAACGGCTTACCAAAATGCTGGCAATGGGGTTCTGAGAACCAAGAAGTTAGAAGTGTACTGGACGATAAACTAGCACTAAATGAACATGAAGGGATAACACAAATATATACGCAATGAAATTTACATACGACGCGAGAAAACAAGCATGCACAAAGTGAAAAAATACATTAACATACGGAACAAAAAGGACACAAAGAAAACATGAAATATGGAAAACACGGAATAGCCGCAACATCCTGGGGGGCTTGGCTGAATTTAACTAAACATTCAGCAAATAAATGCGACAGTTAGCCTAATTTAAGTGTTTGTGGGCTCGATAACTCCAATAAATAATCCGTAGACAGTTCTAAAAAACAGAGTTCTTGAAACATAATTCAAAGTCATTTTCGATGTTACGATACTTAAACTGCTTCCTCAAGCAAGCACAGCTTGGAGATTGGTCTGACCAAGGTACCATTTTTTGTCTTGATTTTGGCTACACGGACCCGGTGATCATGGCCAGGAAGTCTTGAAAACACGACCAAGGAGCCATCATCCCCGCAGGGAATTGTCGTCGACGACCAAGACTAGGTCTCTGATTGCCAAGCTGCCCTTCTCTCGAACCCATTTGTGATGTTGTTGCAGCGTTGGGATGTACTCTCGCATCCACCTTTTCCAAAAGCAGTCAGCTAGAAATTGAGGTTTTCTCCATTGCTTCCGTCGGTAGAGGTCTTCACTCACAAACAACCCAGGTGGTAGAGCAAGGTTTCTCCACTGAAGCAAGAAATGACTCGGAGTGAGAGGTTCGAAGTCGATCGGATTGTCACTGCTTGGCGTAAGAGGATGACTCCTTAGGATAGTTAAAACTTCAGCGAACACAGTGCGTAGAGTCTCCAATCCGAGCAGCGCATTTTGGTTTCTGAGGATCGCTTTCATTGACTTTCAGACACTTCGAATGAGCCTCTCCCAAACCCCATTCATGTGACTGGCTGTGGGTGGTTGAAAGTTCCACTCGGATCTTGGGCACAAGTGGCAGCTGATTTTGTCTTTGATCAGGCATTTATTTAGCTCGTCTTGATTCCATTCCTGAATGGATCGCTGGGTCCTCAACACACTTGCGCAGAACTCATCGGACAAGTGATCTTGCTTGTAATATCCAAAATTTCTGGCGTATGGCAGAGAGTACGTGCTCACAACCAGCATGGCCTAAGGTCTTGTGATAGTAGTGCACTATTAAGGTGGAGATAGGATGATCCTTTGGAGGGAGCATTGGATGGACGGCATCGAATGGAATCGAGGCATGACGAATTCTTCCCCCAACGCAAAGTTCCTTCGATCAGCACAGGGGAGAGGTTAGCAAGTTTGCTATGACCTTTGACTTGAAGTCCACTGCTTAAAGAGCCAACTTCTTCAGGGAAGTGCTGGCGTTGAACTAACTGGACAATTTTCTACGTTGAGCTTCGCGTCTCTACAATACCTATCCCTCTTGGTTTGGGGAGAGCATTCTTGTTCTTGATGTACTCAACAAAGCGTAATAGCCATGCCATGAGTGTTTGCAGACACGGCCAAGATGAGTAGTGCCTTAAGAACAGATCTAATGCAGATCCAAGTGAAATGAGCGTAACGTGACTTACAACTCAAATTTCTTTGTCGTTGTCAGGAATATTACCAATTTCCTGTACTGGCCAATGGTCTTCAGGTTGTAACAGGAACTTAGGTCCAGACAACCAGTGACAGTTCGGTTTGAGGGAATGTATTTCCATCCCCCAAGAGCCCTCATTGGCCGGATTGAGAGATGTCGGCTCATGTCGCCATTGTTCAGGAGTGGAAGTATCATGGATCTCATTAACTCTGTTAGCAACAAAGGGCTTGAAACGTCTCTTCTCATTGCTGATGTACTGAAGGACTGTCAGGGAGTCCGTCCAAAAGGTGACACTATGAACCGGCAGGTCCAGCTCATCGTGAATCAGCACGTGGAGACGCCTAGAGACCACAGCTGCCTGTAATTCTAGACATGGAATGGACCATTGCTTTAAGGGCGTGTTGCACGTTTTCCCCATAACGAAAGTGTGATGAACTCTTCCTTGATCATCAACGAGTCTCAAGTAGCTAACAGCACCATAGCCACAGTTAGAAGAATCAGAAAAATAGTGCAG